ACTTCTGCTATAATGATTCACTGAATAAGTTCATTGTTTCGACAACTTGATTCCACGTCATTTTCAACAAATGTACCTGTCTATTTCACAGCTGGGTATTTCGTTTACGCACGAGCAACAAAGGATGGACGGTATAAGGCCGCGAGGCCGAAGGGAAGCGTACTCCGACTCGCAAGTCCAATGATGTCGACCGACTACACCCAGATAATACGGTTCTGGTACACCATGTACGGCCGTAATGTCGGGAGACTGAATACGTATATACTACAAAATGGGGAAACTGCGATGCAGACTCCAGTCTGGACGAGAAGTGGTAACCAAGGGCCAACATGGTTACTAGGAGAAATCAATTTACCCTTAAATGGAACATTTCGGGTAATGTTAATTTTCTATAATGCTCACGTATTGTTTCTATATTCATAATAGTATTCAGTAAATTTCAGCTAGACATAGATACTAACATTCACCTTCAGTAAACAAACTGAAATGCGACATCAGCTGTGCGATATACGTATCAATGGCAGGGAGATAAAACAAGATCAAATAAAAGATAAGTTTTTTTCGACAAACCCGCGTAAGTTTTGTTATTTTGGAAATAATTGAGCAGACAATCAGTAATCTGGTCAGCCATCTTACTTGTCGTCACAGCGAAAATAATCAGAGATGACGAGTGGAAGCGAGTTCAGAGTGATACGACACAGATGGCAATGCTTGATGACATTGGTGTACATGTCATCACGGTGAAGGGCGCCATAGACATCAACAATTATTACCGTATTCGACACAGCAGCACCTGATACACTCTGCATTTCTCGCCGTCATGTTATTGATATCCAAAGTTGCTGATTATTAAAAATTAACAAAGCTTAACAAGATTATCTTCATAATAAGATCCCTGGAATAAGATGCGCCGATAGTAAACATTTGTGCAATGCGCCTTAGCACTGTTTCGGTCATCATCAAGCGCCATAATTGTCAGCGGTACATAACGTTACGCAACGCCACAGTCGTCATTCAGAGCCACAGTCGTCATTCAGAGCCACAGTCGTCATTCAGAGCCACAGTCGTCACCGGAGGCGGCGGTACGAAATTTTGCACGGGGGGGGGGAGGAGGGGGGCGATCTGCTTAACATTCCTGTCACCGAGGGTGCGACCTAACTAAGGGGTCCGAGCATGCTCTCCCTTAAAAATTGTGAAATGTAGACCACCTGAAACGCTATTTCCTGCATTTCCAACATTTTTTTCGAGGGGGGCGACTGCCCATCCGTGCCGCCGCCACTGACCACGTAGCGCCACAGTCGTCACTCATCGCCAAACTGAGTATTAATCTTGATTTTGTTAATAAGTCGAGCCTTTGGAAATCTGTGAAAAAGATGGGAAGTATTTAGGGAGAGGTGCGCCAGTCCCCCTTTCATCCCGCAAAAAAATGACAAACCCAGCCCACGACAATAGAAGCGCCCCTACCGAATTTCTGGATCCGTCAGTGGGAATATTATTTCACAGTGCAACGTTCTTTCTTGTGAGCATTGAATTACTGGGCTGTACGAGGGGCGTTCAATAAGTAATGCCCCTGACCCATTTCCCATTTCCCATAGCAGGAGTGAAAGTGAAATTAATGAAAGTTGGCAGTGTTATTAGTCTTTCTCTACAAAGGAACCACCCAGAGTTATGCATTTCTTCCATCGTTTGATGCAGCTCTGGACACCGATTTTATAGAAGACCCCAGGTTGGTCCTCCAACTTTTGAATCACGTCGTAACTTCGGAAATCAAGGCTGCATCATCTGGGAAACGCTTTCCTTTCAAAAACAACAAAGTCTGAGGGTGCAAGGTCAGTAGAGTAAGGGGTGGGAGAGGATTTCATAGCCACACGCGCACGCCCGTGCTTCTGATCTGGCGACATGCGAGTTGCGGACATGAGCGTTGTCCTGCAGGAGGAGGATACATTTTCTGATCTTGCCCCGCCTCTTGATTTTAATAGCTTCTCTTAATTTCATCAAAAGTGAAGCGTAATAGGCTCCTGTAATTGTTGTACCCTTTGCCAGGAAGTCTGTCATCACTAGTCCGTTCTGGTCCCAGAAGACTTGCCTTTTTTGGAGGTGGTGAGTCCAAGTGCTTCCACTGCATTGACTGGGATTTGGTCTCTGGATCATAGTGATGGACCCAAGTTTCATCATGTGTATTCAGTCTTTTGAAAAAAAATTTGACTCATCTTCTTGGCACATCTCCAAATTCATCCTCGAACAGTCGACGCGTTCTTGCTTCTGGAAAGGTGTGATCAACCTGGGAATCTGTCTGGCAGACACCTGATGCATATGCAAATGGTCATGGATGATAGCTGCCACAGACCCTGTACTAATCTTGACCTCTTGGGATATTTTGCGAACAGTAATGCGTCGATCTTTCAAAATGGCTGCCTCAACTTGACGGACTGATGCCTCATCAATGACAGAAGAGGGACGACCAGGTCTGGGAGATGTTTCTACAGACATCCGGTCATGTTTGAATTTACGATGCCAGCGTTTTACATGGTCATATGATGGGGCATCATCACCATCAGTTTCTTTCGTTTCACCAAAAGTCTCCTTTGGTGTGCGTCCTTTCAAATACAAAAACCGGATCACTGCGCGACACTCACATGGCTCCATTTCACACCTGACTCAGTTCAAACACCTGTAAATCAGAAACCACAATTAGTTCAGAGCTGTTTTGTGCAACATAACCCATAGAGATGTAAATCATTACACATGCAAAATTTCATCTAGATCAGGCAACTGGGAGTGGGTCAGGGGCATTACTTATTGAACGCCCCACGTATATGCACACTGGTAATTGGTGCAAGAGTTGATCATCATCATATCCAATCGAGTAAAACAGAAATGTTCGAGTTTAAGACGAATACAATTTTTATTGTTGATTTCTAGATTATATTTGAAGCTGTGCTTGGTAATGGTATATATGGCGATATTGCCCTTGATGACATCACGATAGAAGGTAATATACACTACGCTAGTATAACTTCCTTCATAATTAGTAACGCGGCCATTCTCAAGTGAAGGATATATTTGAAAGATTGTTTTTAGAGAATGGAATTATATGAATAATTATCATTTACAATTGTGCATGATTAATAATATCACATTATTACGTTCTCAGCTTGCACGTGCCATGTCATGTGGATAAGTAGACTTTCTCGGTATGATACTATTGACAATTTTTAATTCCAAGTATCGCTACTAATCCGTCATGTTGAATCAGAGACAAATTACGTGCACCAGTAACCAACCATAAGTGATGTCACTATCAAGTTTGAAATGAAATAGGCCCAGACATGCCTGAGAAACGGTTGATGATATGTTCAAATGTAGATCTGTTTAGACGAACTGAATGGTCATAAGCCAGTCAAAGAAACGGTACACACGAAATAATCGGTGTATATATACCCCTTTATGTCTTGTCTGTGTGTCTACTTCATAAAATAAAGAACTCAAAGCATGTTTGGGAAATTACTTTGGACGGACACACGCTCGAACAGACAGGTGGGACTTCGAACTTTTCGGATTCCGGAACCGATAACGACTGAGAATGAATTAGCTGAATCAATTTATTTTAGTGCTTTGTGGTCTGAAATCAACTTGTTATAACTAATTCAATGTAATAATATTAATAATGTTGATCATAATAATAAGGTGTATATAATATAAAACGACACGTAATTTCACTAAATGGTTTGAGCTGTATAAGTACGTCACTGACCGACCTTCATATTTGACGATAGCTTAAGGCAGAGATGCAGTTTACCTGACAGGTATTTTAATTAGTTAATTAGGAAACCAAGATGACGTCCCTTGTCTACAAAACTATATATTTTCGGAAAGCTTATTGTATGAATTTTAAAATTTTGTTAATATTTTTTTTATGAACACTGTAGTTTGAAATATGCACAAAAATGTGCTTTTTTGGTGAAAAGTGATTTAAAAAAAAATTAGCTTCTAAACCATGCTTCTGTTTCCTGTCAAAATTGGTTTACGGGTACATCTGTGTACTATGAAGAAAGTGCCGTCTTGAAAACTGTCTACCAGTTGTCGATTTTGCAGGGCAGCAGCTCAAATTTCACTACTTCAAGTTTATGCATAAATTAACACCCAGGCTAATTGTTTGTACGATTGTTGTAACACTGTTCAACCAAAAACAATGCCCCGACGGCGTTTTGAAGATAAACACATTGTCAATCATTTGTGAAAATTTCAAAACCAAGGTCAA